GATCTGGGTGGGTTTCCAAGAGATTGAAGTTCTTGTGTTTGGAAGTCTTCTGGGTCCATAGCCTCCTTTATACCCTGCTGAAGGCCCATTGCCACCACGTCATTATTTCCTTGTTATTATTTACCTCGTGGAAAACTTAATCATGTAATTACATCATTGTGTGTTTCTAGTTAAATACTCCAAAACTAACCCATTTAAATACTCCAAAAATAACCCATTTCCTTTTCCTGCTGTGCTCCTGTGTTTCTATTGGAAACACTTGTCATATTTCTTCCTTAGTGGGGGTCACCTTTGTCCCTGGTCTATGCAGTGTCTTTTACAAACCGCTGGACACATGACTCTGACACTTTATTTCTAAATGTGATTCTCCCTCCTACCTGTAGATAGCTCTCTACAAATCATGGGGGACACTTTTTATAATGTGAATGTATCTTTTGTTGTCAAAGAATGTCCTGGTCAGATGAGATGTCGGAAAGGAGTTCGAAGGAAGGACTCATTCGGGAGAAGGATGTCCCATCTGTAATGAAGATGACTCTGATTCCGTGTATGCTTCTTGAACGGTTGAGGAGATGGTCAGATCCCAAGGAAGTTATAAACTCTGTGTCAGATCTTATTCCACCACTTCAAGTGAAAGTACTTAGCCATGACTCATTGACTTTAAGGAGTAAAAACACATTTTTGTATATGTCTTACAGTATAGGCATTAGGAGTAGGAAGTTTTATCTTTGATCATCAAAATTGCATGATGAATTTTTCTTTGACAAAAGCATTTGTTATATGTAGACAATGTTTAGAATTATTAAGCCTTCAATAATGTGCATCCAAGACATTCTGTTGGGTACTCTGGGTATAGAATGGATAAACCCTCATCTTTTTCCTGCGGGTACTTGTATAAGACACATGTATAAGAAACAGAATTTGGCAAAAATGAAAGGAATTACAATTATGTTCATTAAACAACTACAGTAAAAATGTATAGTATGTGGATAAGTTCCATACACCCTCAAGGTATGTATATTACTTGTGAGGTTTTGACTATGTACCAGACATTGTGCTAAACATCTTATATTTATTTCATTTTCACTCTTTAATACAACCTTATAAAGTAGTGTACATTCTTATTACTCTTTTAGCAGAGTATGCAAAAGAAGCATTAAAAAGCTAAAACAAACAAACAAACAAACAAAAACGTGTCCAAGATTAAAGAGAAAGTAAGACTAATATGTCTTAGGGTAGCCAAGAAAGCGGTAAAGAATAAAATTTGCCAAACTTGCTGAAATTGTTTCATCTTCTTGGAATGTTTCATTTTTTTTTTGTTGTTCATTCTGCAAACTCCTACTCATGTGTCAAAACCAGTTAAAATATTTCCTCCTCAATAATATTTTTCCTGATAAGCTACACCATACATTTATCATTATTTCCTCCCTTGTGCTCATAATTTGATACATTCTACTGTATCATAGTCATTTACTTCTGTCATTCCCCATATGCAATGCAAATACCCTGAAGGCATGGCCTATGACATTTCTTTTTGTTACCATGATACTCAGCACAGAGAACACTGGTGGTAAATGTTTATTGAGTGAATGAAGGCTTTTTGATGACATAGAGGCATGTAAGGTCCTTTAAAAATGGATATATCTTTTGACTTCTGGATAAAAGAGAGGAAAACATTCCAAACAAGGAGATCAGAGTTTCATTTTAGGAAAACTACACTTATTTCTATGGTAAGTAACATGTCCCCTGATAAATAGTATATGTGGAAAGTTGTGGAAGTTGGGATTCCATTCATAGAATAAGACTTAGTTATAGATAACCAGGAATACTGTGTCATCACATTGTGGAAGGGAAAGGAGAGGGTGAGACAGAGAAAGAGGGAGTCAAAATCATCCTTTTATAAGGAACCCACTCTTGTGATAACAACATGAATCCACTCATGAGGGTGGTGTCACCATGACCCAAACATCTCCTGTTGGGCGCCACCTCCCAGCACCGCCGCATTGAGGATCAAGTGTCCAACACGTGAATTTTGAGGGACACTTTCAAACCACTGCATTCCACCCTTGGCCCCCAAATCCATGTCCTTCTCATACACAGAATGTGTTCATTTTATTCCAATAGTTCCAAAGTTTTAACTTGTTCCAGAACCAACTTAAAAGTCAAAATGTAAATCTAAGAGTGTCATCTAAATCTGATATGAGTGAGACACAACACAGGACTTATCCTGAGGCAAATTCTCCTCCACATGTGAACCTATTAAAGAAGTTATCTAGTTCCAAAATCCGATACTGGGAGAGGCATAGTATAGACAGGCCCACTCCAAAAGGGAGCAACAGGAAAGAAAAAAGGGTAACTGGCCCCAAGCGAGTCCAACAGGGAAGACAGCATTAAATCTTAAAACTGGAGAATGACCTTTGACTCCATGTGCTGCCTCCTGGACATGCCTGCCACGGGGCTGGGCTGCCTGGGGGCCTTGGTGTTAGGCCCCAAAGGCCCTCAGATAGCTCTGCCCCGTGGCTCTGCTGGGCTCAGCCCATGCAGCAGCAATCTGATTGGAGTCTCTGCCTGCAGCTCTCTCAGGCTGATAGTTCTGCGGTTCTAGGGTCTCAGTGGCTGCTCTGACCCCCCGTTTTCCTGAGCATGGCCCTAGGAGGACCTCTCTGCTGTGGCTACACCCCTGTGGCAGGCTGTCGGAAACATCCTTTCAAACCTAGGTGACCGCCATGGCCCCACAGCTCCTGCACTCTGTGTATCTACAGTCAGTACTACATGAACACCACTAAGGCTCACAGTTTGTGCCCTTTGCAGTGGCAGCGCAAGTCTCGTCTAAGCCCACTTGAACCACAACTGTAGCAGCAAAGGGGCACTGTGCTAGGATGTGGGGAGTACCAAGCTCTTTCTGACCTCAAGGTTCTCTTATCTGGAGCCTGTGATGAGAGGGACAGCTTCAAAGATTTCTGAAATGGCTTCAGAGCCATTCTCCCATTAATGTGATGAACAGCACCTAGCTTCCTTCTATTCATATCAATCCTTGTATCAAAGCATCACTTGGCCACATCCTTGCATGCTTTTTCATTCTTTATATGGCCAGGCTGCACATTTTCTACATCTTTATGTTCTGTCTCCCTTTTAATTATGAATTCCACCTTAAATCATTTGTTTCCTCTTGCATTTTACTATATGAAGTTCAAAGATGCTATGCAGCTCCTTCAACATTTTTCTTAGAAATTTCTTCCCCCAATATACTGCTTCATCTTACTTAAACTCTGCCCTCTGTTCAGGTCCTTGGACATGAACATAATTCAATTAAGTCCTTTGCCACTTTGTAAATGGATGGTCTTTCCTCCAGCTTCCAATTATTGTTCCTCATTTCCATCTGAGATCTCATCAGAATAGCCTCTACTGTCCATATTTCTCTCAGCATTCTGGTCATGACCACCTAAATAATCTATAAGAAGATTCAGACTTCCCCTACAGCTATTCTTTTCTCCTGAGCCTTGACCAGAATCACCCTTAATGCTCTGTTCCTGGCATTACAGTAGTCCTTCCCTATCTGTGGATTTGCTTTCCACAGTTTCAGTTACTTGCGGTCAACCATGGTCCTAATATATTTAATGGAAGATTCCAGAAATAAACAATTTGTAAGTTTTAAATTGCATGCCATCCTGAGTTGTAAGATGAAATATCACCAATCCTGCTCTGTCTTGCATGGGACAAATGTCATCCCTGTGTCCACACTGTATACATGACCCACCCTTTAATCCCCGAATAATTATCTCAGTTACCAGACTGACTGTTGCAGTATTGCAGGATATGTAGTGCTTGTGTTCAAATAACTCTTATTTTACTTAATAATGGCTCCAAAGTGCAGGCTAGGCTAATTTGGTTGGCTTGGACTTTA